CCATCATCTTGAGGACACCACAGGGTTGTCCCCATGATCTAGAGAACCCCACGGGGCCATCCCCACCATCTTGAGGACCCCAYGGGCCCGTCCCCACCGCRCTGGCGACCCCGCGTCACTCACGGCCATGGGCAGCCTCCGCCCGCCGCGGTAGAGGGGCAGGAAGGCCACGTAGAGGCCGAGGGCGGCCAGGCTGTAGAGGAAGGCGAGGACGGCGACGGCCACGAAGAACTGGGCGCCCGAGGAGAAGTCGCCCACGAGGTGCACGTCGGAGGTCCACACGGAGCCGTTGCAGAGGCCCCGCAGCGAGGGCGCGAAGGCCGCGCGGTTCAGCCTGCGCCCAAGAGCCGCTCCGTGGGGCCACCAGCCCAGCCCACCTTCTCCAGGAGGTCGCAGGGACCTTCCAGGAGCCCCAAAACCCCCTGGAGACCCTTCGTTTTCCTTCACCTATGGGTGCTGGTGGCCCCCAACCCAACCAACCTTCTCCAGAAGCTCATAGGGACCTTCTAGGGGCCCCCAAACCTCCTTCAGATGGGTGGTGTCCCCCCAAAACCCACGTCTTCGGGTGCTGGTGGCCCCCAACCCAAGCAACCTTCTCCAGAAGCTCATAGGGACCTTCTAGGGGCCCCCAAACCTCCTTCAGATGGGTGGTGTCCCCCCAAAACCCACGTCTTTGGGTGCTGGTGGCCACCAAGTCAACCACCCTTGGCCAAGGACTCATAGGGATCTTCTAGGCCCATCTTGGACCTTCCAGGAGCCCCAAACCCCCCCGGAGACCCTTCATTTTCCTTCACCCATGGGTGCTGGTGGCCCCCAACCCAASCAACCTTCTCCAGGAGGTCACAGGGACCTTCYAGAACGTTCCTGGACCTTGAAGGAGCCCCCACCCCCCTCCAGATGGGTGGTGACCCCCCAAAACCCAGGTCCCTTGGGTGCTGGTGGCGCCCCGCTCACCGGAACGGGTACTCGAAGGCGGCCGTCACCGTCCGGTTGGGCTCCCCGGCGCAGCTCACGAGGAAGGAGACGGAGCCGCCGAAGCCGCCGCACGGCGCGAAGGCGCAGATGGAGAAAATCTGGGGCGAAAACGGCCAGAAACGGGGCTTTTTTKGGGGGGAAATGCCGCAAATTCCCCAGATTTGCCCCCAAATTGGACAATTCTGGTGTTTTTTGGAACAAAAATGGGACTTTTTGGAAGAAAAACGCCCCAAATTCCCCAAAATTTGCCCCCAAATTGGCCAATTCAGCTTTTATTTATTTATTTGAACAAAAACAGGGCTTTTTGGGGGGAAAATGTCCCAAATTCCCCAGATTTGCCCCCAAATTGGCCAATTTTTCTTCTTTTTTCCTTTTTTTTTTTTTTTTTGTGGAACAAAAACGGGGGTTTTTGGAGGAAAAAATGGCCCAAATTCCCCAAATTTGCCCCCAAATGGGCCAATTCTGCTTTTACTTCTCTTTTTGAACAAAAACAGAGCTTTTTTGGGGGAAAATGCCTCAATTTCCCCAAATTTGCCCCCAAATGGGCCAATTCTGCCTTTTTTGGTGCAATTTGGTAAAAACGCAGCCGTTATCAGCGCTAATTAGCGGCAATCAACGGCGCTCATTGGGGCAATGGGGGGGGCACCGCGGTAATTACCGAGCTTCATTAGCGGTAATTGGCGCTAATTACCGACCGCGGTCGGCGCCCCCCCTTG